CTTCTGACCTGGAGAGAAGATGGTGAGCAAGGGGGTAAGTAGACTACCTTTTGCTTCACAGCCAGGGGAAATGCTCCGATTAAAGCTGTTTTTCTTTATTTCTATTCCAAGAAAGCAAGGAGATTGTAGCCAAAGCCTGGCTAAAGGTGGGGAAAATGCCTTGGGAGGAATCGTACTTCACCACCAAGCCCAAGGATTTCTCTCTGCATGCATCACCTCGGCAGCGAGGCTGGGACTTTCCTCCCCAACCTTGCACAGGCGGGGATGGAGCAGAAAAAAGGACCACGCAGCAAGGAGACACCAGGGAAAGGAGTAGGAGTTACCAGCCCTGCTCCAGCTCAGAACCACAGGCCACTTTTCTGCTCATTCATCACTTTGCCTGCTGCAAGGAAGGTGGCCGGGGAACCTTCTCCTGTTGACCAAACCAGGATAGGGGTGAAGACCAGAGTCACTCTCCCCACACCTATAGGACTTCACTAATGGCCCAGCTCTTTTGTTTTCCCCAAGACAGAGATGGAGAAAAACTATAATGATGTTTCTGCCCGGTTTCGAACCGGGGACCTTTCGCGTGTGAGGCGAACGTGATAACCACTACACTACAGAAACTGGGTGACCTGTGCAACCTTGCATCATCTCTGCAACAGGCGGGCTCCGCAGGACGTTTGCTCCAGGATCTCCAGGGCATTTGCTCTAGGCACCCCAAACCCATCCAGGAAACACCAACGCACACAACTCAGCAGCTTTTCCGTCTCTCTAGTGTTCTCCTTCCAACCCAGCCCACAAACCCACCTGTTCTGGACCTGTTTCCTTTGCCCATCCGGCTTCAAGAGTCGGGTTTTGCCCCAAGCTGTGTCTGCTCCCCAGGTCCGTCATCCTACCTGCACGGGTTGTGCATGCTCGGGTGCAGCCGTGGGACCTGCAGAGGGCTAGGGGAATGGGCTAGGGGGTTGCAGAGGGTGGAAGAGATGGAGGTGGGTGTTTGGGCTGGCTGCAGGAGACCCTGCTTCATCCTTCTGCAGAGAGGGTGCAAGGAGCTGCACACAGTGGGTTTCTGTAGTGTAGTGGTTATCACGTTCGCCTCACACGCGAAAGGTCCCTGGTTCGAAACCAGGCAGAAACAGGGTGCTGGTTTTTTTTCCCCCCTTGTCCTGGAAAAGCAGAAAACCAAAGCCCCTGGCTTCGTTGAGTCCCCACGTGAGGGCAACGCGTTCACGCACGCCGATCAGGCCTTCAAATCACAAGCCCGGGTTTTGTTCCTGTTTCTTCCACGATATAAAGGCCAAAGGGAAGAAAACAGGATGCGTTCTGCTGTGAAGCTTTGCTAAATCCTTGCAAGAAGCAAGATAGTACCATTAAGTCCCGTATATATGTGTGCGTCGCGGTATAGAAAACAGGTTTCACTGTTTCTCCCTGAAAGAGAACAGAGCCAGGCCCTTTCCCTTCTGAACTTCATCCCCGCTGCTCTGCATTTGAAATGTTGTCGTCTGAAGGACGTAGAAGGGAGACAGCCGGAAGATCTTTGAAAAAGCAAAACAGCCCCTCCATAAAAACCTTTGTTTCTGCCTGGTTTCGAACCAGGGACCTTTCGCGTGTTAGGCGAACGTGATAACCACTACACTACAGAAACCAGCTGTGGGCACCTGGCCGCATCCTTTCCGGAGGAGGATCCAACCGAGCCGTCAACTCCCACCTGGACGCAGCCAGGAGTGACCGGCTCAAGCTGGGTTTTTGGAGGGGGAAACTGGTGCAGAGATCTGCCGAGGTCCCGAACCCACTCTGATTTAGTAATATTTTTTTAAAAAGGTCATTTTTGTAGCCACTGCCCGCTTAGTTTGGGGGGGGGGGGGGGCAGAAGACGTTTCATTTTGAGCAAGGGGGCCGCGTGAACGTGAGGGGCTGCTGGGACAGCAGGTAGCGCATCACCTCCTGGAGGCGGCAACATCCAGGTGCAGAGAAGCCCTTCGGGAACCCCCCAGAGAGGGAAAAAATAACCCTTTGGAAAGATTTCACTCTTTATTTTTTTTGAAAGAAAGAGCCTTCCCTGACCGGGAATCGAACCCGGGCCACGGCGGTGAAAGCGCCGGATCCTAACCACTAGACCACCAGGGAGAGCTGTTTTGGGGCTGTTTGGTTATTTCTGCTGGTCCTAGAGGAAGGGGCAGCGTCTGCCCATCAGGGCACGACCCGGGCAAGCCCGGCCCC